CAATTCGTTTCAAGGATTTTCTTAGTTCCAAAAATGATGGTTCAACACGTTTTATCTAAAATCTAAAGGAATTAAATTTATTTGTTAGAGAAATGCATTTCAAAATCGAAGATATCAAGGTTGTCTTAATTTATTAGAAGATAATTTTTCCATAGCCTCTCTGCATTTAAAAAAGGCTTACGCCTGGTGTCGGTTGTCTTCGAAGAAAGGAAGTTTTCTTTGAGGGAACCCTTGTAGCGTTTCGTAGTAGTTTTAAATTGTTCCCGCGTAATTTGTTTTAAAATTTGTGTAATCGAGGCAATCTTGCATGTACGGACGATAAGCAAAGTTGTATTTTATAACCAATGATCCAATATTTTGAGCAAGTTTGTGTACCTAGGTAGTGTCGTTTTTTCAAGTGCGCTCATGAAATGGCAATAAAATATGATAGTTTAGGGAGTCAGTATGTTTTTCTGATTTTAGCCCCGTCACTGCCAATTAAAAATGTCCATTTCAGATACTCTTCTTTTTGAATTTACTATAAGACTATGGATGGCGCCTATCTTGTTTACTATTGTTTCTTTGGTTTTATTTTGACTAGAGAACTCATTAAGCACGCCGACCCATCTCTACCTGAGTTTACCTAATAGGTGGTAATGGTTTACCGCGCTTAACGAAAGCTGATTGTGGGCTTCCTTGGCCACCCTACGGCCCCCTTGGCCGACCTGCGTAGCTCAGATGAGCTTGCGTTAGAAGCTCTAACTTTGGCTACAAGGGTCCTGGATTCGATTCCCAGGTAAGGCATGGCTGTTTGTGATTGTATAGTGGGTTGAGTGGGAAGAGTAGCAAACTGCTAACACTCCACCCACTATAAAATAAAGGCAATTTAAAAAAAAAAAATATTATATGTAGTGGTGGATCTCAAAAACTAGCATGCTCTTAGATATCCTGTAATTCATGCGTAAAAATTAATTTGAAATAGCCAAAGCAAAACAGAAGAGGGGCAAAAAATTGCTGAATGGCTCTGGCCGGTTCAATGATTATATCTATTTGCTTCTTTCAAGAATGGCGCTCAGGAATTACAATTGCTTCTAAGATTCAATTAAGATGACTATATTACAACACGCAAAGCCAGAGACAGGCTCACTTCAAGTTTGATTCTTGGAAAATGTTTTATATTTAACGATTTGCAGTTAAAACATTTGTTTAGAACTCTCATCAAGAAATTTCATGCTGTGAGCTTTAGAGTTGTAAAAGTGACCTAGTTATCCATCTAAAAGCACTCCTTGGGGTTGCAGATGCAGATACATTATCCAATAATTTCGTATGTAGTAGGAAGTGCCAACCCTCCACTCCAATAAGCAATAGCAACAAAAAGTAACTAAAACTTCACATAACAAATAGAATGTTGCATAATATTATAGCTATAATAATGCATTATGAATATGCGCTACTCGCTCTCTGGTGATACTGATGGATAAACGCCATAATGAATACAGCTTTCTCAGAGGACTGAAGAACAAACCAGATACACAAAGGCTGTAGTTTACTGGCTATGGTTCCGGTTAAAACAACCCCCAACTATTTGTATGGAATCAGAAATAGTTAAACTTCCTACAAAAGCTCTGCATAAATCTACTTGCACTTTAATAGAGTAGGTATATTAATTTCACGTTTCTAAGATTGTCGTTGTGAATAAGGAAAATGCTAAAAAGGAAATTCATTCGGCTTTCGTAACGTAACTGTATGTTCAGAATCAAATTTCCTAAAGTTTACCTTATCGCCGGTATTCTGTTGTATGTTACAACGAAAACGATAACGTTCCCGTCAATTGCAGACGAGACAAACACAAAAGGGAGAAAAGCTAGCGACTACTTTATTCTTCGCGAGAAGTTTAAATTACATTATCTGACGGATAAATCAGTAACTAACCGCGGTCAGGTTATATGCTTAATTAAAATGCACCCAATATTGCTGTCAAAAGAATGACGAGTGCACGCTTTCATCTCGCATGTCAATATAATTGTATATGTTTACATTTTAAACTATGCATTTATTAACGCGAAGCGAAGCGTTAATAACGTGTTTGCTTATTAAAGTTCTGACAGTGATGTCCGTCACTGACATGAGCGTAAATTATAAGCTGGCGCATTAAAAGAAGGCACGGTCAAGATTTGTCCTTTAGAAAGAGTGATTGTAACAAGAAGTCGCGGGACCCTTATTTAGCATATTGAATAAACCGTCACTGACATGAGCGTAAATCACCATATAAGCTGGCGCATTAAAAGAAGGCACGGTCAAGATTTGTCCTTTAGAAAGAGTGATTGTAACAAGAAGTCGCGGGACCCTTATTTAGCATATTGAATAAACCGCCTATTCATCTTGCTCCATTCCAATTAGCGATGAAGACGTAAAGATCACCATCCCAAATGGCACGGATTTACTTGCAATAACGAGCTGATTAAGATGTATAGCAGTAAACAAGCGCTTCGGTTCGAATCATAACACTGATTACAGATGCAGAATACAAATCGCATATCTACGCTTTCAGTCTGCTTTGTTGCCATTCATCTATTTCGTTCGATTCTGCAAATCCAATCAACGGCTTTATTCATATTTCTACCATACCGCTATACATTACATACCAAAATGGCTAGTTCTAAATTTCGCCTTTATAAAAGTGCAGAATGTAACTTCCATTTCGAAAAGCTCGTTTTATTCCAAAGTTTTAGGTTACTAATAAATTCAAGCAAAGTTGGAAAGAGTAATCTCGCCGCGATTTTATCATAATATATTTACAAAAACTTCATCGCCAAGGATTATTTACTTTAGTAATGTTTTTAATTTGAAATTTTATCATCGCCGTCAAACGAAAATGAGTATTTTCGCGATTTTCCTTATTATTTTACTGTCTTCCAACTTATCTTTGTATTTCCGAAACGGAACGGAAGAAAGTTTTGCTAAAGTGGAAAGTTGGAAATAAATCATGTAACTTTTTGTCTTGAGCATAAACAAAACTTACTTGTATATAGGAGTTTGGTGAAGGTTTATATTTTTCTAAATCTACTATTTTCAGTCAACTTTTAAATTTATGTTGCACTCGACGATTCTTACCGTAGAACACCTGATATATTGTTTATATAGATACACGATTTTCTTTTGTTGCTCGTCTTCCATGTTCAATACCGGACAAAATGTAGATATTACAAATAACAGTAGTAGAAACTAGAAAGCGATACGTATACAAAAGGTAGTAGGTACATATATTACTATTTCCGATTGTCATCCAAGAACTATTTTTGTTTGAGGCGTATATGCATTCATTCCACTAAATTAAAGCGCCATAACTCCGATTCTAGATCTTTTATAAACACCAGGATGTCCCAAAAGTCCCGGGACGGATCTATAAGCTTCAAACGAATAAAGCAAAAAGTTTTTTTAAGTGCCTTTAAAATAAGGTCAAACTTGACAGGGGGTCGCAATTTAAAAGTTTTGGGATTATCACCCTCTAAACATCTCCCCAGTGTATGAAAGTTTTAAACCATCTAAAAATGTACTTACTTTTTATGGTCCTTTATTGATCCCCAAATTTTCAGATTTTTTTCTTCACGTGTTAGAAACTTGGTCCCAGGACTTTTAAGAAATCCTACTGTATATTGTATAACGTATCTTTAGATAAACTGTGTAATGGTAGATCCCACCCTGAAGTGCAAATTTTGGAAAACTGAGTCAAATGTTACATTTAAAAAGATTACGCATTTTACCCTTTTCAAGTCTCGCATCATGATCACTTTTGATCCCAACAAGCACCCCCGTCTACAGCTCGCGCAAACCCACTTGTTATATTAACTATATATGAGATTTCAGTTTATTTCCACTACGAATATCAACTGACGTCTATTAAAAATATATTTGCCTTGTAATTATACAATTCGCGTTTCAAGAATTATAATTAAACGAGATAAAACAAACTTCCCAATTACCAAATTAATTAAGCAGACGGGCGAAATGCTAACAGTACAAAAGCAATTATTGCATTCATAACCTAAACAACAAATCTACCATCACGTTAACAAAGATCGAGAATCATTCACTTCACTTCTAAGGTGCCATCGTCTGTCGAAGTGCAAAAGATTAATCAGAACGAACATTCCAGCTCCCAGCAAGCATAAATTAACTGAATGCCTTATTCGCGTCTTTGCGAAATTTTATTACACGGATAAGCCTGTTAGCGGTAGCTAGATTAATTCTAACAAATGACTAGTCAAAAGAAAATAAGCAATTAAAGCATGATAGAGTGCGTAATAATCTTGAAGGTATTGTTTAATTTAATTGAAGCCATTGACTGGCAGCTTACTGTAATTAAATTTGCAAGAGCCTTCATTTCTATTTTAAAAATGTAACAATCCTGTAAAGTTTATTATTTCGGAATGTTGTTGGGTAGCTAAAACATTTTCTACTGCATATCATGTGAAGGTTAAGACTTAACTTTTCTGGTGCACTGAACGTGGAAATTCATATAACAAATTATACAGTTAGTGTATCAATGTAAAGTTTCCTCACCAAAAGTAAGTATAATCGTGATAAAATTGAAAAAAAATGTACTACAATCATATAAAGAATCAAGATGTCCACCTCTTCTCTACCACTATAGATCTTCCATATCACTGAAATGTGGAGATGGGATAAAATATGTAGTAATTCTTACTTTTATAACTAAAAAGCGCACAAATTGAAAGCACAAACTGAAAAGAAATTCATACGAAAGGAAACCTTAATCAGCTACTAAGAAAATATTGGAAAATTCTAATGATGTACTTCTAATATAAATTTTATTTCTTTTCGACAAAACCTCAACACCTTAATTTAATAAGAAGCTCCGAGAACGATTAATTACGGGAAGTAACTATTTTCGTAAGATGACAATTTAAATCATCTTAGTTTTTATACGGCACGGAAACGGTGAATCCGGGCATCATAATAAAGGAAAATAATGACGTTAATAAATTATGGATTTTCAGGACGGTGCAGGTCCAGCTAGTTACAATATAACGGAACCGTTCAAGAAAAACACCAGCCGGAAGTCCCACAATACCGGAAAGGTGCCATTCATGTCTAGCCAACTCCGATCTGCGGAATTGAAGTCCAAAACTCCCGGTATGCATTATTTATTTACCGCCATCCATTAATCTTGCCTTTTGTCCAAAAAGTATACGTAAATAAAACTGGCGTCGTTCGTAGGAGATTAGTTTCGAAACCTTAAAGTTTTAATTGCAATTTCATTTATTGATTAGTTTTAGGGTACGAAATTGTAGTTTTCCTTGCAGGGCCCGCCGAGTACTCGCCCGGTGAGGCTATGGAACTGAAGGGATCTAGTTTTGGCCACGCTTTGCGATTTAAGGAGCAACACGACGACCTGCCAGGACCAGGCCAGTATACGGTAAGTGTACTTGGAAAAAATTAGTTCCACTTAACGTTAATTAGATTTGCTGGGCCAATTTAACACGCGTACACAGATTGTCGTTACGGTGATCGTGATAAGGTTTGATTGGCAGTGGCAAATCAGAAATGCAATTAAATTTATCGACCGGAAATGTGCTTTACGACGGTTCAGCTGAGGTACGTCTAAGTTAATTTTCAAACCTAATAAAATCAAACAGTGTTATTCTTCGGGATTTTCCCCGTAACCTTTTATTAAGTGCATTTAAAGTCGACTGCATTGTTAGATTATCGATTTTGAAGGATCGAGTGGATTTTACATCGGGAATTATGCCGTAAACGAAACGCGTTTGGTGTCGTCTACCTTTCAGATACTAAACAGCGAAAAAAAGTGTCGTGTTTATTCAGATTTTTAAATGTGTGTTAAACTATCCCCTATATTTAGGTACATGTGGTGGGGTGTAAAAATGTACCTACAAAAAGGGTATTTTTTGCGGTTTTACGGTTACCTATATCTTGTAAAAGACTCACAATAGGTATCGAAAACGTCTCATATGATCCTTAATTGCCCTATTACTAATTTTGTTATGTCTATCGGCGCAGGAGTCACAACTGCCATAGGGCCTTTAAAATTGGCAGTTCTTCAATGATCGCCCTTCGACAAAGTCAAGCTTGTCCGAAAAAATTGAGTAATTGAGACCGTGTGATGTGGTTTTGATCATTTGATACCCGGAAACACAATTTTGCATATTGCATAATTATCATTTTCTTTCAAAATAACAATTTTTGTTAATTTTAAATTATTTCCCGTCAGAGAGTGGGGGTATTATGTCCAAACAAGTGTTGTAGGCTGCGTTTTTTTGCAGCGATTTTCTCAATATTGTTTCATGCATTTCGGAAAAAAATTTTGTCATTGTCAATCAACTAATTATGTGTTTGTTCCAATCCGTGCGGCCCGAATAGTATTTATGTGTGTTTTTATTATTAGTGCCCTATTTCAGGTTATAAAAATATTTGTACTTAATTCTTTGGAATACACGGAAGTTGATCGAGGGCCCAGTTTTTCGAATTGAAAAATTTCAAGTCATTATTAGGATTTTTCTTTATAGCAGTTGCCTGATGTGTATGAGGAAAAATTACAAAATTCTTAATTTAAAGATTATCTTGTTTTGAGCTAGCAGGGTAGGTGTTTCGTGGGTGGTATAGTGATAGCATACCGTTGTACACAGAATTATACTTTATTTTCCAATTTACCATTACCGTAATCACCTCATAGTCACCCAAAGAAGGTCTTTAATAGAAGATTCTAAAAATCCTAACATATCTCAGGATTATGGAGCTTCTAGAGAGCGACAGATTTTCTCAGAAGATTCTAAAATCCTAATAGAAATTGTAAGAGTTTCTATGACTCGAAGTATTTTACACCATATATCTTCTACAGCATCGCCTCCTTAAGGAACAAAAAAATGGCTACCGCCCCATAGTCGCGTAATAATGGCTATAGTCACTTTTGATTGACTTTCGGATACACCGACGTACATATACCCTTCAAAACTAATATCTCCCCCGTTCTGCATGTTTGAAAAAGAAATTTCTTAATTACCCGAATTTTGAGAGTGGCCGCCATATTGAATTTTCTTAAACGACAGCGTGGGGAATTTAAATTCAATTTTTTTCATTTTCCAAAACAAAGGTTAAATGTTTACTAGAAAAAGAAAACAAGACGCGTTGTAATGCTGTGTTGCATGACCCATGTGGTCATTGAAAAAAATTCAAGATGGCGGCCGTTCTCAAAATTGGGTAGCGAAGAACTTCTTTTTCATTCCAAAACTTCCAAACTAACTTGAAATAAATACCTCGAGCCGTTTCATTACTTTCAAACCACCTGTTTAGACGTACACATGCTATGCCTATTCGAAATGATTCAATTTAAGTAAAGTACGTATTAAATAATTTTAATAGGTAATACTAAATATCTTAGTAAAATTAATTTAAGTTAATAGTTACATGACCACCCCTCTGTATGCACTAGGTGTGTTCAGAAAGTATCGAACCTTTGGTGGACATATGTACGTCGTGGTCAGAAGTAATGTCCTCCCTTAGAAACTGCAACTGTAGAAAAAGTACCAATGTGTCAGTTTCTCCGTGATTTAGTTCAATTTCATTTCAATCTTAGACATTTTCCTCATGTTGAAAAGAAGCTCAAATCTCACAGGAGATCCGGTATATTAATTATGTGCTACACTTGAGATAATCGAGGGACATTACTTCTGACCAAAACCGTACATATATTGATTTGGAGGTCCGAAACTTTATTCCCTTTCAAAGTAGTGGCCTTGATGACGCACGCACTTTTCCGATCGCGTCCGCCATTTTTGGGAACGCACATGGAACGCAGTTTCCGGAATGGGTTTGCGGATCATCAAGAAGCACGGCCATCTTAAATTCATCTTAAGTAGGTATGCAGTGGAACTTTATAGATTTTTTTGTAATTTCCACCAAAATGCACCTTTGCTTTTCTTACAATGGATTTGAAATAACCTTAGAGATTCAAAAATTGTGGATTACCACATTGAAACACTTAAAAAAATCCTTCTATTCAGTTGACGTGGAGTCAACATTTGATGATTTCAATTATTCAGCGTCAAAAATTGGGAATAGAAAGTTTAAAAAAGTTCAAAATAATTGATTCATTCTTGATCTGCTGCATGTTTCAACTACTGGGTTAGAAGGTTCACAGAGTGGTCCATTAGTGCGTGGGTGAAAGATTTCACTCCGTCAATTTTCAAAATTTCACTCAAAGGTATCTTGATTCACAGTGTCGATTTTCAAGGCCTTTAAAGAAATTAGTAGGCCGTAAAAATCATAAACACCCATTCAAATTATAAAACATTTACCCGAAACAAAACAGAACCTTCTTCATATAACATTGAGCAAGGAATCGAAATAATGCAGGGGGTTTTATTTTTAAAAAAATGCAACTTTGATATAAATCACCCTGTATTGTAATTTCGTTGAAAATATTTTAGGTGAGTCCTTCGACACAAAGAATTTTACATATGTATCGGATTTATGGCTCAGTGGTAGAGCATTGGGTTATAAATCCGAAGGTCGGGTGTTCGAACCTGGGTTGAGGTGAATTTTTCATCTGTGGCGGAGATGGAAATTACCTTAGACCAGTTCCGAGCATTCTACCGGCTACTCCGAATTAGGTTTTCCTGCAGTTTTCCTAATTCGTAAGGTAAATACCGGAGTAGTATAGACCAACTTAAGACCTTCTGCAGAGGCACCTCTAAATAGCATTATGCGGGTCACTCTGTAATTGGGCGCATGCCTGTTGAGGGCCCAAAACAAGAGAGGGATAAAATTAAAATTAAAAATTAAAATTAAATTAAGATGGTGCGACGTGCCATACAGCACACGAGACCATTGATTTATTGAAGAAACTTTTGTTGAGAACATCATATCAAGAAATAGAGCAGTGAATTGGCCACCAAGATCCTGTGATCAAACGCCGTTAGATTACTTTTTATGGGGTTGTCTAAAATCACTTGTTTATGCCGATAAACTACAAACTATTCCTGCATTAGAAGCGAACATAATACGTGTAATTAATGAAATTTCGGCCTAAATGCTCGAAAGAGTGTTTGAAAACTGGACCCATAGAATGGACCATCTACGAGTCAGTGACGGTCAACATTTAACAACAAATTATTTTTAAACATTAAATGCCATGAACCGAACTTACGTATCAAATACAATTTTTGATTATTAAATTGAATTTAATGCGTTTTATTTCAAAAACACTTTCGGAAGCTCTTATTTGATCACCCTTTATAAGATGGACTGCTAATGCTGAATTGATAAATGACATCTACATGGGGGCAGCCTTACTTGGCGCGAAATTCAAATTAACTAATAAACAAGCATTAACCTCACGTTTTCTAAATAAATTACTGTGACACATGTCATTTTCCAAGGCTGCAATAGTCTCAAAACTTGAGCACTAGGAAAAATTCCCTAGAAAATAACTAAAATGTGCACATCATGGCGGCGCTCATGCTAGGGCCATTTCTACCTATATGCAAGATCAGCAGTCCATCTTAATTTATAAGTTCCTGGTTTAGGAGAACAGCATCATTAGCATTAATTTATAATGATATGGTTGTGTTACCTCAAAATGATTTCCATGTCACTGTTGCTCAAATAGTGCACAATACTTTTGTTAAAAAATTGAAATTGGCGTGACACAAAACGACAAAAAAAAAGAATAAACGAGAGAAAATAAATTTTCCGAAATTTGAACGACCCTCTCATCCTTCTCTTGAATGGGCGCCCAGATTGCACAACACAACGTCTCGTGCCATCAAGCATCGCCTTTCAAAGGAAAAAATTGTGTAAACCCTCTTCTTGCACTTCAATCGTCAACTTCGTTGATATTACAACAATTTGGATAAGTACGGTTACGCATGGAAACATTCGGTAACACGAGTCAAGTGTACCTAACTAAATTAGAAATGGGAAATTGAAAGGAGGTTAGAGACCGGACCACTAACAAGTACAACTTGTGCTAATTACTGGCCCTACAGAGACGTGAGAACTACACCGTCAGGCGACTCAAAGAGTAACTCGAGATCGGCTGATGGATGAAGTGTCTGATGACAAAGCTTTCGTGACCGACACCAAAATTTCTCCCTTTAAAGCACTAAAATTCAATTATAAACGTTCTACAAAAGAAAATCAATTTTGAAATTAATTAAGTGAGTATGGGACGCAAATTTTGTATTGCCTACTTAATGGAACGGCAAGTTTGTATTTCCTACTTTTGGAAAGGTATTTTTTATACATACATTTTCCTTCTTCCTCCTTTATCGTGAACTATGCCACTTTAAAGGGAAGTAAAAAATTTGTTTTTATCTTGTAGAGAAATGCAATTAATGCGAAAGTAAACAGGTACGTGTTGCATGCTATTACGGGGTGGGTGGGCGAATTATTTATGTCTCGTGATAGTGGTCGGACAAGTTCCATTTATATATGCCGAGTTTTATAGTCATCGATATTGACATTATGGCTACACCCTCTTTACGCACCCGTATCACTAACCTACAACGACTTATCTAACCCGTTATATGTTCCTTATCCCTAATACACATGCGGATTTACTGCCACTTTTTATTGC